TTGCTACAAACACTAATTAATAGTTTACACAAATAGAAAAAAGGCTATACAACAAAAAATGAAAATGGAAATTTTAAAATTGCTTTCTTTTGATTATCTCTATTTTTCATGATGATGATATAAATTACCTATGTAATTAAAAATTAATGGGAAAAATGTAATAAACCTAAAAATGTCCTACCTATGGGCAAATACAAGCTGGCCAGGTGCAGGGGCTCACACCTATAATCCTAGCACTCTGGGAGGCCAACACAGGAGAAATGCTTGAGCTCAGGAACAAGGGGAAAGACCCTGTCTCTACTAAAACAGAAAGACCCATTTTCTACCCCAAATAGGACAAATTAGCCGGGTGTGGTGTCACATGCCTGCAGTCCTGGCTACTCAGAAGGCTGAGGCAGGAAGATCACTTGAGCTCAGGAGATTGAGGTTGCTGTAAGCTATCCTGATGCCACTGTATTGTACCCAGGGCAACAGAGCAAAACCCTGCCTTCAGAACAAAACAAGAATCTGGAGCTACATTTTCCTGCATACTCAATTCATTCTCTCACTCAAGAGCGGCTAACCTCTCTCAGCTCCCTTTTACTAAGCTGCCAAGTAGAAATGATTCTCAGTGCTTGTGTGCTTGACAGGATAGAAGTTACGTTCTGCAGTGGTAAATAAAACTTAAACTTTTGCAAAGCGTCTGAAAATACAGTAGTATACTGTTCCAATAGTGCGTACTTTAATATGGTACCTGGTCCTTGAGTGTTTCTTAAAGCCTGTTTTAAAAGAAATGAAAATTTTCGCAACATAAATGTGAGAATAGCATCTCTATTCCATAATGTGTAAAGAATAGAAAAAGCTTACTATTTTAGGAAACAGGAGACCAAAATTTGTGCCTTGGTTCTATATTCTAAGTTATGTTGGGGCAGGTAACTTACTCTCTGAGTCTTTGTTATTCACCTGAAAATGGGTTCATTGCCACCAATTCTTAGTTGTCATTGGAATCAAGGAAGATTCAGCTAGCCTCTGAGAGAGGAGACAGCTGGGTTTCTAAGGCCAGGGGCTCCCCGCTATGGATGTTTTCAGTATAAGCAACCTTGCACTTGTATTTAACCCTGATGATTAAATTACTGGATCATGGTGAGTCAGAATGATCTCTTTGGCTTTACATTCATTCTGGAGGTTGCTGAAACACTTCAGTTCCACAGAAAGGCATCCTTATGTAAACCTCCCACCCCGCTGAGTGCCCACCTGATGAATGTTATGAGAGGCAGGGGGAAGGCACTACAGAAAACCCCGGAAATGGGAAACGTACACATTACAACACTAAACATCCAGACTCCTGGGCCCCTCCCTAGACAGCCCTTACCGATGGTGGTCTCACAGAACTTCTCTGCGGCCACCTCATTGGCAATGTTGGCTCCCATCAGCACACTGATGTCAATGCCCATCTTCTCTCGGATGATGTCAGAAATGAGCTTCAGCCCCTCAGGACCCTCATCTATACCCTGCATGGATGTCAAGAAGTTAGGGGAAAACAAACCACCAAGTCAAAGAGGCATGAGGTAGCTGCTTTATAAATAATCGAGATTCAGATTCCCAATAACATATGCAACTTGAAAACTTTCTCCTACTTGTAAGAGCAAACACACATACTGTATGTGCACCGTTTAAAGAATAATAAAATGAAAAGAATAAAATGGACATACACCCACCACCCAGGCTAAGAAGCAGAACATGACGGACACCAGTGGAGTCTCCTGGTGTCTCCCCACTCAAGTTCACCTTTCTTCCTTCCACCCCCACCCCAGGGGGAGCCACGACACTGAAGGCTCTAAACATCACTCGCTTGCTTTTTCTGGATCATCTGACCACAAACGATGGTCCCTAAACAATGTTATGCCATTATGCCTGAATCTGAAAGTCTATCAGTGAAACTGTACCATCCGCCTGTGATGTGCTCCCTTGTACTGTATTATCTCAGAGTTTCACCATGTGACTAGTTCATTCCTGCTGCACTTTGCTGTTCTGAAATAAATAGCTCACAATCCATTTATTCATTCTATTGCTAACTGACATGTGGGTTGCTGCAGTTTGATTTCACAAACATTCATCTATAAGCCCTCTGGTATGAGTCTTTCTAGGGAGTTCTAAGTCTTTTTTATGACATGGACTCTACCCCTGGCAGTTAAGTGAAGCTTATGAACTCATTCTCAGAATTTCCTATGCATAAAACAATGAGATTACTTAGGCAACCAATATATTGGAATATAGTTCTCAAAATATTAAAAAAAATTTGCAAAAAGTATTATGTGTACTGTTTTCTTAAGGCGATTAGAAAAAGATGTCATGTCCAAGTAATGAAGAGCATTAGCAATACCTTGAGACATCCGGAACTGTCATGAAGAAAGTCCCTACGATTTCTATTGAGAACCAAGTCACAAGCCTGCTAATAGTTTTGGGGGGGGGGATTTGAGACAGAGTTTCAACTCTATCACCCTGGGTAAAGTGCCATAGCATCATAGCTCACAACCTCCTCAAACTCCTGGGCTCAGGTGATCCCCTTGCCTCAGCCTCCCGAGTAGCCGGGACTACAGGTGCTCACTACAATGCCTGGCTAGTTTTGGAGAGAGGGTTTTGCTCTTGCTCAGGCTGGTCTGGAACTGCTGAGCTCACGCAATCCACCTGCCTCAGCCTTCCAGAGTGCTGGGATTACAGGCCTGTGAGCCACTGGGCCTGGCCTTCTAGTATTTCTATTATTGAAACTGGCTATGGCCTACATTCATAAATGAAGGAAATGCTCATTTCAGTTTGAGGTTTAAATGAACTTAAAAACCAAGGTTTTCCCTCTACACTTAAGTGCATAAACCTCCTGAATTCTATCTACAGACCTTGGCAGTGGTTTGTGGAATTCTGGTTAAAACCTCTGCTAATGG